ACTATTTTGAAATTATGGAGAAGTCTAAATTGGGACTCAGAGTGAGTGAGGAAAGAATACAACCCAGTTGGATTACTTACGATCTTCTAATAGATATATCAGTGCAATTATTGGGATGGACTTCAAAAATAAAAAGAATGGAAAAGTCAAATAATTCAAACTGATTGGGATGGGGTGAAGGAAAGAATGACCTTGTACAAGTCAGTAAATGCATGAAATAAGGTAAATGAACTGTTATAAAGGAAATATATGAAATAGAAGATGGGAAGAATAAAATTGATTTTTGCCAGTTGTGATAGTAATACAGACAGGATGAATTTCTTTATCAAAAGACAGAGATAGGAAGATTGTGTTTTAAAAATATGAAAATATCAAAGGAACAAAGACATGACAGAAATGAAGAGATGAGAAAAGATGAAATGGGGAATTTCAAATGAGGAAGAGGCATGGCAATGCTAGTTTCATATAAGGCAGAACTCAAGGCCCAAAACCATATTTCAGGAGTTAAGGGGATAAAGAATTGGGCTAGGGCTACCCAAGGTAGCCAGGATTTCAAGAATTAAGCTTCTGGAGTGAAGTGAAGAGAAGGAAGGTATTCATGTGAGCCCTTTTCCCAGTTAGTCATTTACCAGTCCATTTGAGGGATGGACTGAGAGGCTGAGTAGCTGAATAATCTGTGCTGAGGGGATAGGATTAGGGGATAGGATTTCAGAGTTCTTCGAAATGGAGAACACCTCAGGCTTTCATTTGGAAAAAGGAAGGCATATACCTTAGGTGTAAGGATAAACTAAAAAAGAGTGCTTATGAAAAGCGAGCCTAAAATAAGCTCAGTCCCTAGTTGGATTAAAGAGATTTACGGCAACTGCCTGATAAAACTAAAGAATGCCTCTCTGAACAAGAATACTAACATTTTATTTCCTTTTTTTTTTTTCCCCCCTTAACACAGTGTCCGGTATTCAATTAAAAAAAAAAGTTACCAGGTATACTAATAGCCAAAGGGGAAAAGACCCCAGAAAACAGAATATCCCAGGTAATCAGCTGTCCAGACATCTGTGATTAACATTTGAGAAAACCAATGAAACCATGGAGAATTATTTCAGAACTAAATACAATAAAATGGGAATTTTAAAACTAGAAATACAGTGATCTATTAAGGCTATAATACATTTATTGAGCAGCAAATTTGAAATAGCTGGTGAGAGGTTTAATAATCCAGAGAAGGGAGTAAAACTACATTGACTAAAGACTTAAAGATGTAAAAATGTAGAAAAGTTATTTGAGTTGTAACCATGGGTAAAATTTCTATTATCTGGGAAACGAGTCTAAGAAATGTGTCGGGGAGAAAAGTTGTAGCAGAAGCAATTCTTGAAAAGATAATGGCCAAAAATGTTGCTAAATTAACAAAAGCACTGAGCAAAAAATTAAAGAATGAATATAAACACCATGCAGGACAAACCCAAAACTAAAAGACATATCTGGGCACATCATAGTTAAATTTCTAAAATACAAAGAAAGAATCCTACTAAAGTAGCAAGGGGTGGCAAGGGCTGGTGGTTTCTAAGGGACACTAAGTCTGACAGCTGAGTTCTCACTATCAAACAAAATTATATAAGCTAGAACTTTGGAATGCCCCTTCTAAATTACTGGAAAACCAGAAACCTTGAGTTGTATATTGAGCAAAAAATATGCCTAAAAGGAAGGCTAAATAAAGATGTTTGGAATAACGAGCTGAAGGAAAACTACATGGTCATTCTAAAATTCAGAAGTAAGGACTATGAATCATGGAAAAGACGGGCAGAATCATGGAAATGACAGAAGCAACGAATGGCAACAGAAATGGTCAATATGTGGGAAATAGTAGGACACTTATGTCCTATGGTTTTTAATAGGATACTTAAAATTAGACAATAGGAAAAGAGAACATGAAAGATAGGGATAAATGGAGTTAAAATATTCCAGAGGTTTTCCATTATCTAAGAAATGGTAAAATAATTTGTTAGGCTCTATTAGGTTAAAAAAAGAAATCATAAGGATTTAAAAGAATGGATAACAAGCTTATAATGGGGAACAATGAATTCTTGATCAGGCCATAAGAAGGCAAGGATAGAAACTAGAATATAAAATAAATGGGACAAAAGAAAAAAGTAATGGTCATTTTAAACCCAAATACTATGTATCTGGGCTGCATTAGTTATAAATGGGTTAAATATTCCAATGAAAAGATAGACTGGATTAAAGAAAATTTTATGTGCTGCTTGTAGGCAATGTACTTTAAATATTAAATCAGGAATTAGTGACAGTAATAAGATGGAATAGGATATATTCAGAAAATAACCAAAAGGGAACTGGCAGAGCTATACTCATATCAGATGAAGTAGGTGTTAAAGCAAGAAGAATTGCATTTAATAATCAAGAATCCATACAAAAGGACAATCTCAACTTTCTACGTAGCTAGTAACCCAAGACCAGGTAGAAAATGTAAATAACTACTGAAGAAAGTTTAGAGTTATAATTAAAGAGAACATTTAGAAAGGTTCCAGCATGACAGAGCTTTAGAACTAAGTTCTATAAAACCTTTTAAAGAACATTCCCATTTAAATATTTGAAGACCACAGAGAAAAAACCAGTAATATCCCAAATTTATTTAATATAGCTAAAAAGAAAAAAAAAAACCACCTTGTAAGAATAATAAACCAACTAACAAAGTCCTCCAAAGCCAATTTCATTTATAAATGCATTGCAGGAACGCAAAGGCAGTTCAGATCTATCAAGAAAACAAAATATCCGTTTTTCAGCTTCAGTGTACTGATATATCAATAGATGCTAAAAAGACCATATTCACTGGTAGAAGAAATCTGTTAGATTGTATACACAAAATTCCATCTGGACTAAGTATCTAAATGTAAAACAAGTGGAAACAGTAGCAGAGAATTCAGATGTTTGTGCTGAGCACCTTCAGGCTCTTGGTTAGAATTTTTTTTTTAACCCTTTCCCAACTGCCATCTCCTCAGCCTTCTATCTCGGATTTGTGATATAGAGCTTTTTTATTTACTTATTTGACTTCCTCCATCACCTTATTGGAAGTCTCCAAATACTTATCTTACTCATCTTCGTGTATTTAGTGCTCCATACATTGTAGCTGTGTTGTAAGTACGGCCACATTGGTGATGACCCCTCCTCGCACCCCCACACCCATCTAGCCTGCCCGTCTCCTGGAGCGAGAGCAGAATAGGAGCGATGTCATCTTGTGCAACTTCTCTGCAGTTTATTTTCTGTAAGGCGCTTTAAATACCGCGGGCTGGTTGTCTTTGCTCAGAAACAGCTCCTTGGGACAAGTGCTATTGAGCTGTACATGTATGGCAGAAGGTAGAAGATGGGTGATGCTCCCAGCCTCTGTCTCACCAGTGAGACTGTGTACGAGGGGAACACTACAATAAACCTGATGATAACATGGTTTGCTTTGTTTGCATTATCGGCCACCTTTGCTAAGCGCATGTGTTTCAGTGGTCCTTTACCCTGGTTGCTCCTTAGTCACCCCACCATGGACCAATTAAATCCCAGTGCTCCACATGTGTTCTTAGGTGTAGCTGGGATTGAGAACCACTGGTCTTTCATTCTGTTGTTCCTGATAGAAGGAGTCTAAGATTGCATGGGCCCAGAAACCACATGCTCCCCCCGCCCCCCACAAAAACGGTTTTCTAAAGAAGGTGGTCATGCAGTAGGAAGAGCATGGCTTGGCACCAGAAGTTTGGAGTCCTAGCCCTGTCACTGGCTGAAGAGCTGACACAGAAAGCCACAAAGCCTGATTGATCAAATAAGCATAATGAGCTCTTCTAACCACCTCAACCTGTACTAGGAATTTTAAAATGGAAACTAGATAAGACCCTTCAAAATTTGAAAATCCTGCAAATGTAATTTGTCAGCATTTCCATCAGGAAACAGGCATTGTCCTGTGTCCTAGCTGTGGGGTCTGGTGCGGGTCATTTCACTTGTTGAAGCCCCATTTGCTTATCCCTAAAATGGAGTTACCTATTCTGCAGAGGACCCCTTTAGCAGCAAGGCAAGCAGGAGGAATGGAAAAACACAAAATATCTATTGCGTTTGCTATTAACTTGGATTTTTATCACAAAGACTCTGAAATTTTTGGTGTCAAGCCTGCCGTCAAATCCCATAGCCTCCCTCCTGATAGCAGATGCAAACACCGCTGTGGCCACAAGCAGGTGCAGTGTCCTTGCCTGAAAAGCTTTGTCACCTTAAATCCCAGGGAATTTTTGGTTACAAACCAAGCCTGTTGAGGTGACAGGTGCCATTGACTTAGCTACCTGTGAGCTGACCCTTTGGCTCCCATTATCTGGGCTTTCCTGCCTGTTGAGTTGGTTGTAACAGGAGATCAATACTGGTGAGAGGGGAATGTGTAATCAAAGCAACTGAAGGGGGTCGAAATCTTCAGGTGTGTGGTGACCTAACAAGAGGAGGGGTTACAGAGGTACTGGGCGGGCAGAAGTGCCTTGCCCTTGAGCTAGTCCTGCCACCTTCCTCTGTTCTCACCTTCTGCCTCCGAGTCACAGCCCCTGGTACATTTCTCCAGCCTCCGGAAGCTGAGTATTCTCCAGTGTGGGGATCTGCCATCTTAAATGGACAAGGGCAGGGATGACAAATGTGGAGGTCTCCAGGGGAGCTCAAGAGTTAAAGAGTAGTGAATTTGAAAGTGCGAGATGGGGAGCAAAAGCATTTGAAAGTGGCTATGGCACAGTTATTTCTAACTGGCTCTGCAGGTGTCTGTACTTAACTGGGCAAACTTAGGTTGTCAGCCAGTGATATTGATACTTTTTCTTCCTAAAGCAAATCTGAGAAATACGACATTGCAATCTAGAGATGACAATAACAAAAACCCCATGGAGTCTGTGTATCAGCTTTTCGTACAATAAAACAGAACAAGTGTTTATGGAAGACATGGATGGTTATTTCAGCTGAGCCCCTGAAATCCCGTACCCACTTACCCACTGATATGGTCCAAACAGCAATTATTTTCAGAAAGGCCTTGGTTCTGGAGTTGAACCGGCTATGATGGATGGGGTTCTGGATGGCAACGTAGCGGTCTAGTGAGATCGCACAGAGGTGCATGATGGAAGCCGTGGAGAAGAGCACATCCAGGTAAATCCAGACAGCACAGAGCTTGCTAGGCAGAGGCCACCGGTAACCTGGGATGCAAAAGGTTAGCATCAATAAGGGATCTCGGGCCTCCCACGGTGCGGTGCGTGGAACCCAGCCTGCCAGAAGGGCTGCTATTCTGGGGATGGGGTGGAGTGGGGAAGGCACAGGTGGTGGCAAAGGGCAACACAAGATATTTTCAGTATTTTAAAAGCCCAAGAACAATTGTACTGAACAATGTTCAGATCCTACAAGCTGATGAACTCAGGGTTTAGAAATTTCTTGGGGCTGGAGTTCTATGCCACTGTGTTGTGGTAACCTTGGGTTGTCTTCAGGGTTTCTCTTGCTCTGTGTCCCCTAACAGCATCTACCCTTTTCTCTTTGTTTTTAAGGAGTTAGAAGTCTCGATAGCTTTGGAGCTCCTCTATTAAAGCGCCTTGTTCACGTCTTTGACATACTGTGGGTTCCCTGAGGTTCGGCCCACCTCTTAGTCTCCATAACTTTAACGGCTCAGTCTTGCACAGTGATATCATTTAGTGGTCTCTCAATAAATGCTATTGGTGTGAATGAATAAATGATGAAAAAGTCCAGATTGAGAATATTTTTTGGAAAAATGAAAAATAATTACATTATGCTTTAGGGGTTCAACTCAAATTTGGGGTGTGTGGGGGGGGATATGCAGAAAAGCATTGTGTTCTTGTCCTGATGAGTGTTTCAGGGCAGTGGTTCTCAAACTCAGTGAGTCTCAGGGCCTCCCAGGTAGGGTCTTGAAATGGTACTGTTGGATCCCACCTGGAGGTGTCGATTTTGTGACTCTGCAGTGGGGGGAGGAGAACGGCCATTTCTAACCAGTTTCCAGGTGGTATTCCTGGTCCTGGGATAACACTTGGGCAACAGCTGCGTGCAGCAGCGGCTGTCAGCCCTGGCTGCACTTGAGAATCAGCCGAGAAGCTTTTTCTCTAGGTTCTGGTTCTCAGGAGGTTAGGAGGAGGTGGGCCCCAAACGGAGTGTTGCAGAGCTGTCTTCATATTGATCCCAATATGAAGAGCACTGCGGGAGGCCCATAATGCATATTCTAAGTGTCCTGTTCTTGTTTTACAGGGGATCCAGTGGTTATATAAACCCAAATTAGTTTTGATAACTGTGTAAGCGATGATGTTACATCTGCGTACAAGTGAAAAGGCAATCCTAAAGATCACCTCTTCTCGTCAGTAGTCCAGACCCGCAAAGCTGAACAGATTCCGCATGTGCAAGTGTACTCCACCAAAATGCCACCACCTATATTTGGGGAAGTAAAGGGTGCAGGATACAAGTCTAACTTAATGCCTTTCACTCTACTTGCCAAAAAACAAGCTAAAACAAGAGCCTCTTCCTTTGCAGTGCCTGGAGGGAAGCCACACTTTGTCTGGTCGGAACTGATGTTGGCCCGTGGGAGTTCTCTCTGCAAGGAGACAGCTGAGATCGGGCCAAAGTCTGGTTTCCTAAGCAGGGATAGGGAGGGTCATTTCCTCACCCTGAGGGGTGAGAGAGGACCAGTCCCAGTGAGAGTTGAAACTCTGGCTGGAATTGGCTGCATGCGAAGCAGCGGCCACTAGGGGGCGCCGTTGTACCCCGAGCGGGAGGCGGTGGCCAGGTCCTAGCTTCTTAACCCAGCTGGTGGGTGCCTGCTCCCCATCTGCTACTGGGGTCACCTCCGCCCTCTGGCAGTGGTTTTAGTGCCCTAATGGGACCTCTGGGAGCCATGCACCACTCCCGCAGTTTGCCTTCGAGGCGGGGGTCGGGCCTTAGGAAGCCAGAACCTCTGCAGAATGTCTGGGAAATGACAGGCAAATTTGATGAAATCATCCTGGTGTGACATTTGATGGTCAAACGGAGGCTGTCCTAGCAAAGAGCAGTATGGACCCCGTGCAAACCGGCACCCGCTCTCCATTGCCCATCTCCTTCCTCCTCCATACCCTTCTGCGCTGGGGTAATATATATATATACTTTAGCCCTTAAGACTTGGACAGAAAATCTCCTCTTACAAAGACCATAAGGTGACTGCTATGTGCCTATGTCAGCAGTCTAAATACTCTTCAAAAAAGAAATCCAACTGTATTACTCATAATTGGAAAAGAACATCATGTTCTGCTTCCAGCTGAAGCCGTACCAGTGTTTGCTGACTTGCTGAGAGGTTTGACTCTTTCAAACTGTTGAAGAAAGCAAGATTAATGTCTTCCCATTTGTTTTCTACCCTCTTCCAAACCAGACTGGAGGAGTTGATGTATATGTATTTTTAAAGAGTTGAGGGTCTAATTTAAAGGCATACTTCTAAATTAGCTTCTCTGGAGGTAGGGAACAATTGAAACAGGTGTTAATTTATTTATTCTAAGGTAGAAGCTGCATATTTTAACATCAGACCCACTGTACCGCAAATGTTCTCCCTGCACACGTTCCAAGGTAATTGGGAAGGTTTGCCACTCCATTAGAAGTGCTGAGAACTGTGTGACAAAGCTAAAACTGTGTTCTGTCCTGAAGGTTGGGATACTTGGTCATATATAGAAGTGAAAATCCAGTGGATTCAGAATGACAGCTAAATTACTGCTTTATGACCGTATGGGGGGCATTTAAAGTGACTACATAAAATGGACATGTTTCAAAGCACAAACTCTCCAAGGATAATGGGTGGTCTGATCTCTTAATATGTGAAAGCCAATTTAAGATTTAACCAGTGTAACATGGTAGACCCCTGTCTATAAATAAACCCTTGTGTTTAGTTTGTCCCTTGAGCCTCCGCTCATCTGCTCCTAACATGCACATGCTGTCTATTACCCGTGTGGGTGCAGCTGGGAGGCTAAGGCCACTCACCATACAGGATGGTTAGCATGGACACGGGCATGACAAGGAAACCCAGCAGCATATCAGCTATGGCAAGTGACATCAGGAAATAGTTGGTGGCGTTCTGCAGCTTTTTCTCTAGGGACACTGCCATGATGACGAGTATGTTCCCAGCAATGGTTAGAATAATCACTACAGCTGTCAACAAAGCAGACCAGTTTTTTTCCTGGAGATGAAGTAAGGAGAAGCATGGTGGTGAGAGACAGCCCTCACAGGAAAGGTTGGTTCGATTTTCCGAGTCCACTGTCCAGTTAAATGCATCTGAAGTGTTAGCTTCTGCGGAGTTAAAGTCATTGATGTAGAGCCTTGGGTCCTCATTTGATTGCATTAAGGAGTTTGTTGTTGGGCTCAATGAAGCATTTTCCTCAAAAAGAATATCCATTTCTAAGCTGGAATTTGTAGCAGATGAAGTAAAGAAAAACTACCAAGTTAGAGCCTCAGCTCGCCATCCATCTTTCTGTCCCCACGCTCTGTCACACTGAAGCCGGCGTACATGCTGGGCTCCTTGGGTCGCCTTTTTTCTCTCATGATTACAATGGGAGCTGAACTGCAGTGGCTTTTTGTATCTCCTTCCTTCATGGGGTTAGTGGAGTCTTGTTTGGTTTCATTTTTTTTTTTTTTTTTTTTCCCTTCAAAGCAAGGTCAGAAAAGCAGGATGAACTTTTTAACAGAGGTTGCCGAGTTTGGAGCATTCAGGGAGAAAAATGCGATCCTGGCCAGGAAAGAAAAGTTTTGTAATTACCAGGAATCTCATTGAGCTCTGTCTCATTTTGTGGGTTTTGTTGATCCCACTAGTTTAGCCACAGCAGTATTAAAACAGCATGCAATCCAAAACAGTGGGGCGGTATGCATTCTACATTAAGAAAGGCAATTAAAAATACATCCTGTGTTAATCCCATAGTAATTGGATGTACTTGGGGCTATAGTTCTCCGTCTCTAGGCTGAATAGCCACAGCTGCTGTCAGGAATTTCCATTTGCATTATGCTTAGTTAAAAAAAAAAAAAAAGAAAAAAGAAAAGAAAACTCTTAAGCAAAGATTAGCAGACAACTTTTCACACCAGAAATTCTCACTGAAATGATAACATTTTGGCCAAGCGTGATTTCAAGGCAGAAAGAAAATTAACACCGAAATAAAAGACAGCAGCGTGAGAACTTACATTTGTCTTCAGGGTCCACACGTTAGACATACTTTGCTGTTCTGGGACTTGCTGCATCTCCCACGGTAATTAAGCCAGTGTAGAGTCCCTTCTTCTTGAGCCTCAACCGGCATAACAGGACAGTAATTTGATTTCTGTTTTGCTGACTTCAAAAACTGCAAGAGTGGAGCCAATTCCAGCACTGCGCGGTCTGTGTTCGCCGGCTCTGCCCACACTCGGCTGGGTCACTCCCTCTCTGCGCGGCTTGCCTGAGCGAGGCACACGTTCAGCAATCATTCATGAGCCCCTCTCCAAGTCGCACAAAAGAAATCCCTCCGGAAAGTAGGGAGAGCTGCCTGTGCCAGGGGACTCGTGGTTTCCCCGGGAATGGACCGGCTCTCAGGCTGCCTCGTTCACTTCACACCAGACCTCCCTCTATCTGTATGTCAGAAACTGCAAGGTAGCAACAGCCCAGGAGGGCGGACCAAACAGGCGTCCCCCCCCCCCCTTGTTTCTCTCTCTCTCTCTCTCTCTTTCGGCCACATGTTAACATAGGGAAGTTCTCTTACGTCAGGAATTGCCTTTTATGCAGATGGCTAAGGCAGGTAAGCTGTGCTGTGAGGTTCTTAGGGTGGGGGAGCACGTAAATAAGGCTAGAAAGTGGCATATCCTGGGAGCACTGTAAGCGTGCCGTTCTTCCCCCCAGAGCCCACAGTGCTGTCTGAAGTGCAGTTGCTGACGTCAGCGACTTGGGCTCAGGGCTGCCAAGCTCCTCCTGGAGATACTCAAACTATCAGTAGTATTTTTATTTATCAGTAGCATGCTCCATTCAACTAACTTATTTTCCCCAGAAATAAACTTACCTAGAAGTAATTCAAAACCTCACATATGGAAGAGGGGTTTTTCAGAGATCATTTTAAAGACCTCCTGCCTTCTTTGTTTAAAAACAAACAAAAAACCCCTTCTCAATTCTAAAGACCGAAGCTATGTGGCGGGTACACGAGGTGTATATATGTATATACACTAGATAGCATTATTTTTACAGATGAAAAAAGGATTCTTAATCCTGAAGAGTGGTGGTTTTCTAGATTTCTGTTCTTATCTTCACATTCTCTCTAGACAAATTCTGTTACTTGTGTGCCTTCAACATGTCCTTGGACAAATCAGTACCTTCCTAGCAGGTGATTTCTCTGCTCTTGACCTAAATATGCAGCTGCCTACTGAGACCTTCATCTGTGCCCTAGAGGACCTTGACCTCTGCATCTTTCTCCCATCCCCCTACCAGCTTCTTGGTGCGTATCTCCACCCATTCTCTTGGTCACCAGAATCAGCATCTCTTGAGACAGCTGGCTCTTAGCCAAGACTCTTCCTTCCTTCTCCCTGCCTGATCGTAGTCTCCAGGGCCACTTGTGTGTACACAAACTTCTCATCCTCGAGCCCTCATTTTACCTGTCTTCTGGGCTGGAGCCTCTCCCTTGTGGGAACTTGCCCTTGATGCCATACCTTGGAGGAGGAGAATGTGATTGCTGTGCAGTTTGAGCGGGCAGCTGAGAGCCCAGGCTCTGGGTTACAGCTCCTTAGTTTTGAATCCTAGCTCGATAAGTCCAGCAGTAGAACCCTGGACAATCTAGCCGTCCTCTTTAAGACTCTGTATTCTCACTTTAAATGGGATCATAGTTGTACCTCCTTCAAGGTGGCGGTGAAACTAAAATGGGGTCTTGCATGTAAATACATAAACCAACATGCTTAGAGGATGTTCTTAATGTTAGTCATTTTTATTAATCCTATTTGATGTTGTTGAAACAATTGACCTCACTCCCACCAATTTGTGCTTCCATCCCTTTAGCCTCTCCCTTGTGGGACACAACTCCCATCTTTGTCCCCCACTGCTCCCGCTTCCCAGGCCTAGACTCCTGTTTTCTTCTACAAGCAGCCTACATGGAGACAAACTTGCAGGTTGATAATTTTAAAGTGTTTGTACTTGAAGTTTCCTGTGTCTGGAATGCTCTCACCACCCCCTCTTAGTATCCATCTGACAAATTCCTACTCAGTTTTCAAGGCTCAGTTCTGAAGGTAAGTCCTTGAATCCACTCCTGCCACTCAACCCCTGAGTGACCTGGACTAAGCTGCTTAACCTCTGTGCTTTAATTTCCTTATCTGTAAATAGGGGAAGATAATACCTATATGAGAGGATTGACTGAGAGTCAGAATGTACCGGGCATGTACAAACTTGAATGCTCTGTAAAGGCTAATCATTGGTTTACAGTTGTCAAGATTTCCATGGCTCTCTTCCCCAGTATGGGCAACGAGCATGGTATTTTCAGAAGCTTTCTCTTCAATCATGTCTCACCTTGCATGTAGGCAAAGACTACATTTGTCTTGTTAATGGTCATACATATAGTGCTTAGGTCTGTTTGTTGAATGAAACATAGGACTGATAATTTATATGTCTGTCTTTATTAGATGGCGAACTTCTTAGTCATCTCTTACCTACAAGACCAAGCATGGTATCTCCTGATGGAAGGTCCTTAGTAAATGCATTTTGAAAGAAGAAGTGAGTTGGCAGCCTGTATTAAAAAGCTTAATCAGGGAGAAACAAAGAACTCTACTTCCTTTTTCATTACTTTGTGCAGTGGGATGCTAAATTTTATTAAAGAGGGCAAAGGGAAATATTAAAAATTTTGTTAGAAAATTAAGGCCTTTTTAATTTTGTTTTATGGGTTGCTGTGTTTTTCTTGGAGAAACCTGATGTTTTCAGGCTTGATGTCTTCAGGGGCAGCCAGGTTTCCAATCATGGCAAAGCTCGTCAATGAATTCCTTGGTATATGGTTTCTATTGTGAAATAATTTTGTTCATAGCCATTGGAGATTATTTGCAGTTCCATGAATACTAGTCCAGGGCAAAGGAGTGTGTTCAAAAAATCAGACCCTTGGCTACTCTGTTAACAGCATGGGAGTTAGATTTGGTGGGAATGGTTTCTTGGAGGTCAGACACTCTTGAGTTTCAAAGAGGGCTGTACATTGGCTGCTAAAGTGAACATTGGTGTGCAGCTCAGCAACCTCTTTGGGACGGAGGCACTCAGTCTCCCTGTTGCTGGAAATGTTGAAAGCTGGTGGCTCTCAGCTGATTCTTGGTCTGAAAACTACCCTCAGCCAAAGAGACCACCTCGCCCATAGCCATGTCTCTCCTCCAGGGCAGCCAGAATACAACTGGTTTCTTGTGAGGATACAAAAGTCTGGTTTCCCTGCCTTGAGGCTAGATGAGGTGGAAGGGCCATCCTGGTCCCAGAGTCTCCATGGGATCTGCCCAGGCCTTTGTTGAGATTGCATCACTGTTAATCTCCTCCCCGTGCCTAGTCCTGCCTCCATCGTTCCCCTGCAGGTATGGATCTGGAGCTCTCAGCAATCAATCTCCCACACACAAGTCTGTCTCACAGTTGCCTTCCTGGGGAACCTAAGGCCAATATTTTTAAACATGTGGGGTTGTTTTTTTTTTTTTTAAGATTTTATTTATTTATTTATTTGACAGAGATCACAAGTAGGCAGAGAGGCAGGCGGGGGGTGGGGGGAGGAAGCTGAGCAGAGAACCCGATGTGGGGCTCGATCCCAGGAACCTGAGATCATGACCTGAGCCCAAGGCAGAGGCTTAACCCACTGAGCCACCCAGGTGCCCCTAAACATGTGTTTTAATGCTTCAATGCCATTCTGGATGAGTTTAATGTCTTTAAACAAAACAAAAAAAAATTATATGTTGACGAATACTTTCTTCTCATAAACCAAAAGTTCTGCAAGAGACAACTGGCTTTACTGTCTAACTACTTCCATAAAGAATTTAAGGTCGGGGTGCCTGAGTGGCTCAGTGGGTTAAGCCTCTGCCTTTGGCTCAGGTCATGATCTGAGGGTCCTGGGATCGAGTCCCACATCGGGCTCTCTACTCAGCAGGGAACCTGCTCCCCACCCCCATCCCCACTTGTGATCTCTCTCTGTCAAATAAATAAATCTTAAAAAAAAAAAAAGAATTTAAGGTCAACAACCCCAAAATAAACTTATTTGGGACACAGTTTCTTAAGTACATAATTGGACTTTCTTTAGGGCTATGTTTTGCAACCAGTTTATTATGGGAAGTATTCCCTAAAAGAGGATTGTTTAAGTCAGGTGTTTTGTTTTGTTTTGTTTTGTTTTATAGCTGTGACAGTATTTGTAGCCCTTAACTTTTTTCCAGTTTAAAGTTAGTGGGTTCTGAAACATCAGTGCCTTACAGATGTTAGTATATGTGTGAGGGCGATTCTTTGAGCAAGTAAGCCTGGAACATAATGCATCCTATAGCCTTCTCTTAGAGATCTGGAGTGTATGTTAACCTCTTAAATGCAGCAAGAGATGGTGCAGTGAAGAAATTTGTTGATCTTACCTTGCTCACTCCCCATCTATGCCCCAGAACACTGATTTCAGGACCCTTTGTTTGATGAATGTAAAATGTAACCCA